CGAGAGAGGGAACACAAGCAGGGGGAGTGGGAGAGGGAGAAGCAGGCTTCCTGCTGAGCAGGGAGCCCGATGTGGGGCTCGATCCCAGGACCCCGAGATCACGACCTGAGCCAAAAGCAGACGCTTAACAACTGAGCCATCCAGGCGCCCCAAGGATGGTTTTTTTGTTTTTGTTTTTTTTTTGAAAGTGAGTTTTCTCAGGCAAGCTGTTGTCTTAAAAAAAAATGCAGAGTGGTCATGTTTTTTTGTTGTCTAAAAAAAGCAGACTGGTCATTCTTCACAGGGATGAAACACTGGCTCTGGGCAGTTACAACATCTGGTTACCCCTAGGGGTCAGGGAAGTTTAGTTCCTCATGGTGGGGCCAGAATGGGGAGGACCCAGACATGCTGGGCCATGCTCTGCTGAGGTCCCCACCACAGCCCCAGCCCCAGTGCCAGCACATCTTTCCTCCTTCCCTGTCCCTGCTTTCCCTGGGCCTAAAGGGCCTAGGGAGGTTGTAGGCAAACTCTACCCACATAGTGAGCCCCAACCTGTGCCCCATGATTCATCCTCTACCCCAAGTGCCATCAACCCAGGGGCATCAATGACCTTAGAAGATCATCCCCAAGGGAACATTTCCCTTTTCCAGCTCTGGCATTGGGGGAAGGAAGCTGAAGTGAGTGTAGACAGCTACGAACCAGCTTTTCTACTGCCCTCCTCCATGTAACCTCATTTTATTCATCCATCTATTCCTCTGTTTGACAAACATGTATGGGGCTTTTCCTATATGCCTGACATTGGTCTTTCTGCTGGAAGCAAAACCAAGTATCATAGTAACGGTAATAACCAACAACCACTAATCCTACCCCCATTCAAAAATGTCCCATGGTTCCAGCCTTCAAAAATCTCCCTGGCAATGATAATAGAGTGCTTGTGCTAAGACAGGAGTGAGAACAGGGTGCGGTGGGGGCACACAGTGGGGTCGACTACCCAGTGGAGTGAGGGGAAGGGAAGAGGGCTGGGGAGAAGAGAGGTACCCTAGTGTGTGTGCTTAGAGGGGTGAGTCAAGAGAGAAGAGTGGTGGGCAGATGGGAGGAGATGCCCCACTGCTCTTCATCCCTGTAGAGAACCAGAGTGGAGAGGATGTGTTGAGCATGAGGCAGTGAGAAGCCACGAGGGGAAAGCCCAAGGAAATTGAGGCATCTCCTTCCCTTGAGGTCAGTGTGATTTCAGATGTTCGCAACTTCCTCCCCTGACATGTTCCTCTCTCATCCTCAAAGGCTAGAGCAAAAATACAGTCAGGAACTCCAGACCCACACTACATGGGCTCAGATCTGGCACTGTCACATCCCCATCTTAAAGTTGGGAAGCTGCAACCCAGAGAGGTGAGTTGAACTGCCCAAGATCAAACCAGTCAGGAAGGACAGGGCCAGGTTCTCCTGTCCCTAATCCAAAACTTTGAAAAACATTTTCTTTTTTTTAGTTTAATTAAATTAATTAATTAATTTATTTATTTATTTTTAAAGGTTTTATTTATTTGACAGAAAGACAGCCAGAGAGGGAACAAAGGCAGGGGGAGTGGGAGAGGGAGAAGCAGGCTTCCGGCGGAGCAGGGAGCCTGATGCAGGGCTTGATCCCAGGACCCTGGAATCCTGACCTGAGCCCAAGGCAGACGCTTAATGACTGAGCCACCCAGGCGCTCCTGAAAAACATTTTCAATGAAATTTTGTTTCCTTTATGAAGGTCTAAGGAGTTGGGGCGTCTGAACCCACCGCAAGGACACAAGAACTCAGGAGTATGCAGTGACCACCCTTTCCTTCAGACCAGGCTGAATTTAAGAAAAAACCTATCCCAACTCAATCCTGCGTCTCGCTCGGAACCCCAACAGGTGTGTAGCAGCCCCTTTTCTGGCCACATGAGGTCAGCATTGAGTCACTCGCTGCTTCCAGACCCTGCCTGCACTGACAGGAAGCCCTTCTGGGGATACTTCAGAACGGGGAGAGGGACCATACAGTGCCATTTGGAAGGGTGACCTGGGGACTCTGACTTGGGCCTCAGCATGGTCAGGGCCCTGACTGCTTCCTCGGCCCCTCCAGTCCTCTTCTCTCTCTGCTGTTTTCTTCTAGTTCCCTTTGTAGTACCCCCACTCCCAGCTTCCACCCACCCCAGCCAGGCTCCTCTTCAGGAAACAGGCCCTGTTGCCATGGTGACCAGCTGGTCAGCTGGCTCCTTCCTCGCCCCCTCCCTTCACCCCTCTTTCCCCTGAGCTTCCAAGGAAGGGTGATGTGTGTGAATGGAGAAGGGGGGGGGGCGTTGTCAGGGGTCCTTTATCTCTTGGGAGCTCTGGGATTGGCCAAAAGGAGTTGGGCCAGCTCTCCTCCAAAGCCCCCCTGAGGTGGAGACAGGCAGGCAGTAGGCGTGGGGAACAGGAGCAAGATTACAACAACTAAATGGGGAGTGTGATCCTCCTATCTGGGTTAGGAAACGGCAGGGCTAGGAACTCTGCACTCTGTCTGCAGTGAGGACTGAACTAGGTGGAACCGGCTGAGACCAGAAGAGGGGTTGGAGTTAGATGTGAGGCAGGGCTTCCCACAAAATATGGGTGGGAGACACTGGAGTTAGCCACCAAGTGAGATTCCTCCTCTGCCATGAGAAAGGGGGCGAGGCCTGCCTCTTCAGGACCACACCCTTCCTCTGTTCGGGTCTGGAGGACAGAATGACTGACCCGTGGAGGATCATGCGGGCTGGATGGTTCTGAAGCAGGAGGCAGCCAGTCGGCCACCTTCACTTTGCCTGGAAAGAGGAGAATAGGAAAATGGAGGCAGGCCCAGGAGTGGGTGTGGGGGGTGGGGTGGGGTGGGACAGAGGCTGTGGCTACTCTGCCTCAGGTGAGAATCCCAGCAGATTGGTGCACTTGTCCCGTCCCAAAGACTAGATTCTCCAAAACTTTGCCTTAAGCTAACTTCCTACCCACAAATATCCCCATGGCCTTTGGAATGGGAAAGATCTGGATTCTAGGACTAGCTCTGTGAATACTAGCAGGTGACCTTTAGTAAATCATTCACACTTCCTATACCTTGGTTCCTTGTGGGTAAATGGGGGACCAGTTACTATATGTCAAAGACTAATGTAGCACAGGGCACACAGTAGGATTCCACAGTGTGCACACACAGATTGAATAAGCATAGCCTTTATACTATTTTATCATAATGATTGCCCCCTCCCCATTAGACTTTGTGCTCTTTGAGGGTAGAATATTGTATGTTTCATTTCTGAACAGGGTACACAGGAGGTAGCCAATGCCTGTTTATTGAATGGATGCATCCAGGAATGAATGAATGCATGTCAGTTTTCTTTCTGCCGGTCCCAGGCAGTACAGGGAGAAGCAGTGTGGGTGGATGGCAGGAAGGGGTGGGCTACTTGCAGTCACTCAGCCTGGCCTGGGGTCTATGATTTTGCCTCCTACACCCATAGAAGAAGGGCAGAGGCTTAGAGACTGTCCAGGCAACTTCTTCAAGGCACAGATGAGGAAACTAAGGCTTAAAGAGGGGAAGGCACTTGCCCAAGGTCACACAACCCCTTAATGGCAGAGCCAGGATTAAGAATTGGAACTTAGGTTTCCTGATCTCCAGCCTAGGGCAATGCACACGCTTCATTGCTTCTTTGGGACTGTTTCTCTAGGGAAGGAAAATGGCTCTGTGAAGCCCCATTCCAATGTCCTCTCCTCTGCCCTCTGTTAGTCCTTTCTCACATCTAGCTCCAATCCTTTGCCTTTCACCCGATTCCATCTCTGTTCACTTGGGTCTGGCCTCTGAAGGCTGGCTCCCGCCTTAAGCGTTACCACCCAACTGGGAATAAGGATCTTCCCTAGGGTTCCAAGGCTCAATTTCCTTTCCCCACCCTCGGCCCCAGGAACTTGCGGGAACCAACGACGGGGAGGGATGTTGGTTGAACCGCTGGTGCCCCCTCCACCGAGAAGGGACGGAAGGAGTTGCTGCACAGATCTTCCCGGGATGGGGGGCGGTGGTGCGGTGAGCAAGGCTGGGAGTGGGGAAGGGGTGCGGGGAGCCCCTGTTGCTTCTCCTCTTTGGGGGGTGGCTATTAGGTAGGCTTGAGGAAGGCGGAGTTTGGGGGGCCGGGGGCGGGGCTCCTGCGCTGAGAGGAAGAGGGGGGGCGCGCTGGCTCCAGCTCGGCTCAGACAAAAGGCGGCGGCGGGAGCGGGCGGGAGGCGGAGCGGCGCCGCGAGGGCCTCAAGGTGACACCCGCCCC